GATTTGAACAGCCGAACTGCTGAACTGCAGTCAGCTGAAGTAGCCTGCAGTGCTGCATTTAACCACTGTGCCACCTCGGCTCTTCTCTTATCTATAAACAAACCCATTAAAAAAAAACCTCATAATTTCAGACCTGTTTCAAGAAAAGTCCGTAAAGGATTACCAGAGATGACAACATATCTGTTTCATTTTGATCAAATGTCTTGTGCAATTCCTTTTTCCTATTGTATTACTTTTCTGACTAGGCTCTTTTTCCTATAGCAAAAGGTTCTGTGGAAAGCATTCGTCTAGATGGCTCCGGGCACAGATTCATTCGGAGAGGAATACATGGCCTTACGCTCTTCACAGTAGGGGATGGAATGATGTCCTGGACAACAGCAGCTCAAAATCGTAAGCAGGCTTGAACTATAGGAATTCCCAAGGAAAGGGGAAGCTCTCTGTCACAGATAGCAATAGCACTTAGACTTATATACCGTTTTACAGTGCTTTACAGCCCTCTCTAAGCGGTTTACAGTCTCAGCATACTACCCCCAACAATCTGGGTCCTTGGAAGGATGGACGGCTCAGTCATCCTTGAGCCTGGTGAGATTCGAACTCCCAAATTGCAGTCAGCAGAAGCAGCCTGCAATACTGCACTCTAACCACTGTGCCACTGCGGCTCAATCATAATATATTAAACAGTGTGTCACTTGGGTCATTTATCTGATTCAGAACTATGACATATCATAGAATCTGGGAACCAGAAATCAGATTTTTATGTCAATATGTGCACAACAAATATTTTGTAAGTTCAAATTCAAAACCTGCATCCAGCTATATTAATATATTATTTGCAAATGTTCATGCAGTGTTCAGTATAGTTATTAGCCTATTATAATGTAATGTGATACAGGTAGTACTCAGCTTACAGCAGTTAATTTAGTGACCAAAGTTACAACGACATTGAAAAACTTGATTTACAACCATTTTTTACACTTACAATTGTTGCAGCATCATCGTGAATCACATGATTAAAATTCAGATGCTCCTTTCCAACTGACTTATATTTATGATGGTTGCAGTGTCCCAGGGTCACGTGATCAGCTTTTGTGACCATCTGACAAGCAAAGTCAATGTGGAAGCCAGGAAGTTAGTAACCGGGTTACTAAGTTGACAACTGCAGTGATTCACTTAACAACTGTGGCAAGAAAAGTCATAAAATGAGGCAAAAATCACTTAAGAATTGTCTCACCTAGTAATAGAAATTTTGGGTTCAATTGTGGTCGTAAGTTCAGAACTACCTGTATTGTAATGGCTCAGAAATTAACAGATTCTAGTCAGATAATAATACTGTGTTGTGTAGTATCCTGTAAATCAATAGTAATACTCTGCATAACAGTAAAATATTTTCTCCTGCCTGATTAACTTTATTCCTAACAGATGCAATGAAGGTGTGGCATAGTCAGCTGGAAGCAGTAGAAAACTGGTGGTTTCAAACACATCAGAAACTTGTGGATATAAAGATCTACAGCAAACTATATCAACAAGGTAAAGTTCAATATAACTTTGAGAAATCATAGGGCAGAGGTGTCAAACTCAAAGTCCGGGGCTGGATCCGGCCCACAGGGTATTTAGATCTGGCCTGCGGGGCTACCCTGGAAACAGTGAAGGACCGGCCTGCAGTGCTTCTACCAGTGAAAACGGGCTCCCAGGCGCTATTTTCGGCTTCCACTGCCTCCTGCAACCCTCTGCCAGTGAAAATAGAGCTCAGAAGGGCCTTTTCACTTGCAGAGCACTTGGGTCACCACAGGCAACCCCAACACAAGTCCTGTCAAGCTGGCCACACCCCCCCCTTGAGGTGAAACACAACCCTGATGCAGCCCTCAATGAAATCAAGTTTGACAACCCTGTCATAGGGGGATTCCTGGACTACACTGAACAATAACATTCTTTTTGGTAAAGCAAAAGTTTTAAGTTTTAAGCATATAGAAAATGGGGTGTTGATCTAAGCATCAATCCATTGTTTTTACTGAGAACCTCTCTCTCCCTTAGGCATAGGTTAAGTGAGAGACCGTTCTAGAAAAATACTATCTGGAAAAATAGTACCTGTCCTACATTGACTTTTTTCTAACTGTTGAAATTGGGGAGATGGTGTCAGAAATATCTTCCCAAGTCAACAGTATGCCAGCCAGGTTGCCAAGTAGATGCTTCCTTACTGTACCATATTCTGCTCGGGAAATAGAACTGAAGCAATTATTTTTTTGTCTTGTGGTTTCTAGGTAGAAATGGCTGTTCGGAAAAGCAAGGGGGATGCAGTCAGATATGTTTACCAAATCCGCAAGGACGAAGCTGCCGATGCACCACCGGGTACATTTTAGAACGTGATACTGTGTGCATCAAAGGCATAAGGTGCCCAGAGCCTTTGCAAGCCTGCTCAGATGACAGCAAATGCATTAAAAAAGAACAAATCTGTAATGGAAATCTTGATTGTCTTGATGGATCTGATGAGTTGAATTGTAAGTATGAAAACCTGTATTTAAACAATCAGAGAGATGAATGCTTGGGGAACAGCTCATTAATACCCAAAGAATAGCTAAAGGTAAAGGTTCTCCTCATACATATGTGTTAGTTGTTCCTCACTCTAGGGGGCGGTGCTCATCTCCATTTCAAAGCTGAAGGTGGCCGGCATGGCTAAATGCCGAAGGCACACAAAATGCTGTTACCTTCCCACCAAAATACTGAAACAGTATTTTAAAAGGTGGTTCCTATTTTTTCTACTTGCACTCTTACATGCTTTCGAACTACTAGGTTGGCAGAAGCTGGAACAAGTAATGAGAGCTCACTCTGTTATGCAGTGCTAGGAATTTGAACCGCCAAACTGCCAACCTTTCTGATCGACAAGTTCAGTATCTTAGCCACTGAGCCACTTCGTCCCTTGAAGCTGTTGTTAAAATTGATTTTTGTTAAATGTTAAAACCAACTGTTTATTTAACACAAATGATTTTATAAACTTTTGAATGTTGGATATGCTGATTGCATTTACTGAAATAAGGGGCTTTCCTAGTACACACAAATGCTACCCTCAGCTGTCGATGTATAATTTAAGCAGCTTTATCCACATTAACATTTTTGAAATCATAGTTCAAAGACCTTTTTTCTTCTTTTTTTTAAAAAAAGGTTTAAGTTATCTAAACCGGGGTCTCCAACCTTGGCAACTTTAAGACTTGTGGACTTCAACTCCCAGAATTCCTCAGCCAGCGTTGCTGGGAGTTGAAGTCCACAAGTCTTAAAGTTGCCAAGGTTGGAGATCCCTGATCTAAACCATCAGAGTGTTAATAATTTATACAATAGTTCTATAATGAAGCATCTGCCTTTTATGGCGATATAATGAAACAGTATTTTAAAAGTAAAAGCAAGAGAAGGGCATTCACATTAGAAGGGTGCACTTACTACAAGATGTGGTTTTGGAAATAAATGGCTAATTCATAAAATAACCTGTTTTAATTCAGTGCCCATTTCAAAGTAAGATTCACACCTCCTATGACTAGCTTGGGAAAACAACAAATGACTGTAGTTTCTATGTAGCAATGGTTACTCAGAAATTAATAGGGGATTAGCATATCAGATTTTTAAATCTCCCATAAAATTTCCCAGTTCAAGTTGCTTTGTTTTGTTTTGGTATTAAATGGCTGAAATAGTACATTAGTCAAATCTAACATACTTGACATGTTTAAATTACGTAGTCATTTTTGTTCCTCTTCCTGGAAATTGTAGACACATAAAAAGGGGATTAACATTTCCCAACATTCAGCATCATATTTAAAAATGCAGTTCGCTGCAATTATTTCAGAAATCAGTAGAGTGATGCAAATATACCATGTTTCTTTTTACCCCTGAAACAAGTGCTTGGCCTTAATTTCGGGGAGGTCTTATTATTTTTGAGGTACAGGAGATGGCGAGCATGGTCACCTCATGGCTGCTTCTGTGTTGCAATATTTACAGGGAGGGCTTATTTTTGGTGGAGGGCTTATTTTAGTGCATGCAATCAAAAGCCCGAGTGGGCTTATTATCCGGGGAGGTCTTATTTTTAGGGAAACAGAGTAATATAAATAAAAGGATCAAATCAAAATCTGATCTTTTTGTTTTAACCATCCTGGACCAGCACAAAAAAGTATACATTAAAATAAAACAGAACAGAACCAAACAGAACAAAGCATAGAAATAAGTTACAGTTAATGGTGAAATCAATGGGTGGTCAAAGTCTGCCTAATTTTACAGATAGTTTAACAAAATTTAGCTATGTTCAGTGAAACAATCATATTGATCCAACAATAACAGTTTTACATAAAAAAGAGTTTCTGGGATATTTAGTAGGTAAGGTGTTAAGAGCCTGTAAGTCTCTGTAGAAGGGCAATAAAGGGAAGAAGGGAAAATAAACTTCAATGAAAGGTGATCACATGTGAAATGCAAGCATTATATATTTTTAAAGGTTATTTGTATGCTACCGTACATCCTATTTATCAGACAAGGGAAGTCTGATGGCTTAGCTTTTAATTATTTAAATTTAGGTGCCTCCTAACCACCAAACTAACTTTAGGCAGCTCACAGTCTAAAAATAATAAAAATACAATACAGAACAAAACCAGAAGGGATTCAGTTGCTCAATAAAAAAAATATAGATTAAAAACACATCCAACAAGGGGTTCCATCCACTTTAACCAAATGCCTTGGAGAAGAACTGGGTCTTCAGCACCTTATAGAACACCAAATGGGGTTGTAGGAGCACACAGGTTTCAGGTGGGATCTTGTTCCAGAGGGCAGGCACAATGACAAGAAGACACATTTCCTGGGTCCCAGTAGGTGGCACTGTTTAATTGAAAGAACCCTGAACTTAGATGGTATCTAGCAAAAACCATGAAGGATAGGACAGTCCTTCCACTAACCTGGATTTGTCCCAATGCCCTACACCTAACCTTTGAGTAGACACTATAGGTTTTTTTAGGGGTGGGGGAGATCCGGCTTGCTTGCAGCTACTCTTTCTGTTAAGAACCTCTGGCCAACTGCCAAACATTCAACCTTGACTCTGCTGTATTCAGAAATGATGTATGTAAATGATGTTCTCTACTTACAGGTCACTACATTGTCAATAAACCCCAGGCAATAACTCCATCTCGGACAACACTGCTGCAAACAAAACCATTGCACAAAAAGAAAACTTTGGCACCCATTAAAATTGCCACAAAGAAACCTGTCACTAAAAAAGTGCATGTGCAACCACAGACAAAATACAAGAGAACTACTGTTACTGTCTATAAAAGTACAACTTCTACCACTACACGGATCCTTCCTTCAAGAAGAGGAGAAAAACCTACACAACCTGCAGCGGGGAAATGGCAAAAGCCCTCTCTAGTGCAGGGGATCAAACAAAGTGACTTAGGGTCGCATGCTTGTAACAGCGAGACCTGTAACATGAGAGGAGATTGTAGTGTGGAAAACCATAGAATAAAGTGCAATTGCATGCTGGGATATAGTGGTGACTACTGCGAAAAAGAGGAACCAAAGTCTACGGCTGGTTCCATTATTTTGAGTATCATTACTGTCTTACTACTTGTTATGGGAGCTGCAGGGATCTTTATCTACTATAGGAGACAAAGATCACGTCTAAGGTAAGTTTGGTTATCCTCTTTCTTTCTTTCAAATTAACTCACATTCAGTGGTGAAAATAGGCGAATGCAGTACATTTCTCTGCTACCTGATCTATAATAACATTAGTGTCTGCTTTTCTGTATTTCCCCTTTGAAGGATTAACATTTTGGAATTAACAGCAATTGGTGTTTGACATTAGAATTCTGTAGTGAATTCTACTAACTCTCTCACTCTATTTTTTATAATTCTATACATGCAATACATTTTTCTGCTACCTGATCTATAATAACATCTGCTTTTCTCTCACTCTATTTTTTATAATTCTATACATGCTTGATGTATTTATATTTCACTTTTTCTGCAAGGAATTTGGGATGGGTGGCATTTAAAATAAATTGTACTACCTTGCTCTATTAGTCAAGTGAATCCTGCCTGATAAGATTCTTCACATGTGCTACCAATTGCATTTTTAGTCCCACTTAAGTAGATATTCATCTAGTTAGGACTGCATTTGCTGCTAGAAAGTATGACGCTATAAACTTGGAGGTAGACACCCAGTAGGCAGAAGGCTATGCAAACAACATGAAGGCTAAATAGGCATGACATTGTCTGTTCAAACGCTTAAATACTATCTAATTCAAAACCCAGCCCTATCCAGTCAGTATACTTGCTGAATTCTATTTTCAGGCGACTGTTGACCTATGACAACGAACATTTAGTTTCATGTTGAATGTGAATTATGTATTTTAGGGGACTAGGAGGCAAGGTTTTTCTGTCATGGTACCTATCCTATGGAGTTCAACACAGGAGATTCAACAGGCCCCAACCTTGTTAGACTTTGAAGACCTTGAAGTCCTGACTGTTCACTCTGGTTGAAGATGCTAGCTGAGTTTGTCTTAGGAATAGAAGAGAATAAGCTGGAAGGTACCTTGGAGGTCTTCTAATCCAGCCCCCTACTCTGGTTTTCCAACAGGAGAACCTATACCATTTTCGATAAATGACTGTCTAGACTCTTTTTTAAAACATCCAGTGTTGGAGCCCCCATGATTTCTGGAGGCACTGGTTAATTGTCCTCACTGTTAAGAAGTTTCTTCTTAATTCCAGGTTGCTTCTCTCCTTGGTTAATTTCTATCCATTCTTTCTTTCTAGACTAGCCAAACCCAAATCCTGCAGCCATTCTTCATATGTTTTAGTTCCAGACCTTTGATTATCTTAGTTGCTCTTCTTTGAACTTTCTCCAAAGTCTCAACATCTTTTTTTGTAGTATGGTGACCAAAATTGGATGCAGTATTCCAGGTGTGGTCTTACTAGGGTTTTATAAAGCAGTAGTAATACTTCACCTGATTTTGATTCTATGCCTCTGTTTATACAGGAGGTGTTGCCTATATTGATGTGCCTCAATTGTGTGTTTTGCTGTTCTTGATCTTTGGTTATTTTTGTTTTTGGAGACATAGTTCACGGAGTATTGACCTATGTGTAGGACTATGAAGTTGTCTTGAAATAAACAACAACTATGGCCTTTATAAAACAAGTACCAACATGGTATTGAAAGGGAAATGTGGTAATAGGACTGATACTAATGTAAAATTACAACTCTGATAGAAAAATTCTGGCATTTAAACTGTTGCTCACATTAGATTTCTGTCCCTCTTTCTCAAAGGAGATCAAGTACGGGGTCCGATAAAACATTGGCCATCTACCAGAAGGATAACCAACCAGAAGGAGACAGCTATGTTGAAGATGAAACATGCATCAATGCCGCTTATGACCCAGGCCAGGTAACAGCTTCTAGTAAAATTTTAGTTGTATTTCGATCCCAAGCACGTACACTTGGTAGCCTTCTCTATAATCTTGAATTAATTATAGCCCCTTTATATTTAAGTATGATTTATATTTAAGGATATTTAAACTATTTGCGGTTGTTTTGAGTTAAAAGAGCCTCATGTGGCTCTTTCATCCCTCTCCCTGTCACTGGCCACTCCACAATTGATAGGGCTTTCGGTTAGGACAGGTAGAGGAAAAAGAATGCCGCGCTAGGAAGAGACTATGGTGGGGAACAGGACATCTGGTCAGCTCCAGAATTGAATGGTGGGCTTCCAGTTAGGACCTTTGTGACTCTTTGAGTGTTTAAGGTTGCTGAGCCCTGCCCTAGAGAAATTGATTTTGAGACTGATGAAAGGATAGTTTTGCCACTTAAATTAACTGCATCTTATTTTGCAAAGCTGATAGAGTTTCTTTATAGATTGTGCTTGATTAGATCAAACAAGCATCCAAACACATACCCTGGCTGCAGGATCTCGCAAAATGGGAAAACAATGTAAACATGCAAAGAATGTAATATAAAATGTTGAATCTTGATTTTTTTTTCCCCAACAGGAAATGAAAACTACTATGAAGACAAGCACAGATTTGTAAGAAAAATGAATTATGCTAACTATAAACCTCATTCTGTCTTCTCCAGCTGGAAACCAGGAAGGATTATGGAGAATTACAGAATGGGAATTTCTCAATGTCATATTTATTATATTACCACTCAGACTTTTAATGTTCTATTTAAATAGTATTTTAAAAGCCAGCTAAAAGTAGCAAACATGGAGAGATTCTACTGATAGCATGAGTTAGATTCCAGTTTTACAGTGAGGTGGAGACCAAATGAAATGTATTGCAATCACTTCTAGAGGTCAAACGGCATATCTAGTACTTAACTAGCAGCAGTTATGCAATTGACAAGCTATATAGTACTATGTCTAGACTAGAGTCATATATCAGCTTAGAAATGAAGGATAATATATAATTGCATGAAAAACAGAATGCACAATAAAAACTTCGGCGCAAACAACTTCCTACAAGAATTCAGCCCTTTGAATAATATGATTTGTATCCAACACCTACTAAACTTTACTAATCCCTCTGACACAGGCTTTTATGAATTCATGAATTTAGATGCAAGAAGCAATGCTTCCCTTTCATTAAAATATCAAATAGCATTTTCTTTCATTTTTACAGGTGTATTTCTTGGAAAGATTTATATTTACACTGGTCACTACTTTCCACTCTCCATTAATGACTTACTGTGGCTTAAGTAGAAAATTCTTTGAAAAATTCCATTTTCCCTCTACTGAACAGTTTGCAGCATAGATTTTTTTCCTGATTGCCATGTTTCTAACATCTCTATTTAGAGACAAGAAGGCTAAATATACTGGCCAGCATATCCCCTCCCCCTTTGTGTGTGTGTTTATGTATGTGTGTGTAGCTGAAACAACACTTTTTGGCTGGGCTTCCTTTCTCTTTTCTTGCTTCTTTTTTTTTTTTAATGAAAATTTTGAAAAAAAAAAGACTTCTACAAATATTTGATATAATATTATATCATTCCTTGTTTTTTTAGTCATAAGCTATCTGAAATTTCTTGGTCCCATATTTATTTTGAGTATAGTCAATCCATCTTCTCCACTCCAGTTTATATCTCTTGTTTGAGTGGTCCTTGAGATATGCAGATATTTTAGCCATTTCAGCTAGATTTGTTACTTTCAATGTCCATTCTTGAATAGTAGCCAAATCTTCCTTCTTCCAGTATTGCGCCACCAGCAGTCTTGCTGCAGTTATTAAATGCAGAATCAGGTTAATCTCTACAACTGTACAATCAGTAATTATACCTAGCAAAAATAACTGAGAGGTAAACTTTATCCTTTTTTTTAGAACATTTTGCATAATCCATATTTTTATCCAAAATGCTTTAACCTTTTTACAAGTCCACCATATATGAAAGTAAGTAGCATCAGCACAATCACATCTCCAGCATTTAGGTTGTAAATTCGGATACATAGAGGCCAGTTTTTTAGAATCTAGATGCCATCTATAAAACATCTTATAAAAGTTTTCTCTCAAATTTGGGGCTTGTGTAAACTTTACATTTCTTACCCATGTGATCTTTTCCCATGTGTCCAACATTATTGATTCTTCAAAATTTTGGACCCACTTTATCATACAGTCTCTAACTAATTCTGTTTCCGAATCCATTTCTATTAATGCGTTATATAGACTCTTTATATGCATTGAACTTTGATTTCTGATTTGTTTTAGTAAGTTATCCTCGTCTTGCATAAAACTGATTTTTTTTATCTCTTTTCCATCTGGCCTGTAACTGCCCATACTGAAACCATGTTTGAATTACCTTTTCCTCTTTTAGTACATTCAGGGGTTTTAATTGTAGCACACCTCTTTCTAAGGTCAGAAGCTGTCTGTATGTAATTACATCCTGTTTTTGTACTATATGTTTTCTATTGTGTGTCTAGGAATTACCCACATGGGTATCTTGTCATTTAGCTTGTATTGTTATTTTTTCCAGACCCGCAGTAGAGCATTCCTTAAAATATGACTTTTAAAGTTTTTATCTACCTTTTCGTCATATAGCAGATAAGCATGCCAACCATATACCAAATCATGCCCTTCAATATTAAGTATTCTATCATCTGTTAAGTTAATCCAGTCACTGATTACAGATAAAACTACTGCTTCATAATATAGTTTTATATTTGGCAATTTCAAACCTCCTCTCTCACGCACATCTTGCATTATTTTTAGTTTAGTTTTATTCTGGGCTTCTTCCCTGCCCAAACAAATTTGTTAATACCCTTCTGCCATTCTAGCAAATTTGCATCTTTTTTAAGTATTGGTATCATTTGAAAAAGAAATAAAAATTTAGGCAGAACATTCATTTTCACTGCTGCTATTCTTCCCAACAAGGATAATTGTAATTTTTCCCAATTTTTCACCTCTGTCTGTATGCTACGCCATAGTGGCTCATAATTATACTTATATAGCTTCCCATTTGAGGTTGAAATATAGACTTTTCTTTTCTCTTTTCTTGCTTGTTAGGGCCTCCGGTACTGAGTAGCATTATTCCATCATGGTCCTTTGTTGAGTTTTCCAGTTCTTCCACTAATGAATGTTTCATGGCTCTTCCTTGAATTAGCAACTTTTCTGGGAATTTTTGCCCAGATCAGCTCAGGATCATCATGCAGCATTTCTCTTTAAAACAACCAACACTGTTTAGATCCATTTTGGGTTGCCAGCACAGCACAGTTCTCTTTCCTAACAAGCTTTTAATGTGAGTAGATAGAGCTTCATTGCAGAAGAATAGGTGATTTTGAGAATGAAGAATGGGATTTTTCTCCCGAGTTTTATTATCAGTACATAGCGGCATCAAACTACACAGTTGGTAGAAGATTATAAAGCATTGCCAGAGTAGGAGCGAGGAAAATACAAATGCCCCTATGGAAGACAATATTGTGTAGTTTCAAGTTACTTCTTGGGCACATTACCAGGAGTAAGATTTTCACACTATGTTCACCAAGACAAAACATCAATGACATATGGGTTTTCCTATGAAACCAGCTTGCCTGAAAAAGTACCCAACTATATATTTGAACAGCTTGCACCTTCCAAGTAAATGTTCTTTATTGGAAAAAGCCATACAACTGTATCTAGCCTGCCATTTATTTTGTGTACAAGGTGCTTTCAAAGTATGAGAGCAGTTCCAGAGTTTACTTCCATTCTTATTGACTTACAGTTGTTAGCACGAGACCATCAGACTTGCTTACATTGGAAAACAATAGCTGTGCCAGAAGAATATGGCAGGACCAGTTATATTAACATTCTAAAGTAGCTATAGAAATAGGCAACAATTATTAGAGAATCTTTTCATGATCAGTGTGATGAAAGAGATCCTTTAATATAGAATGAATGGACTTCCTGGGAGGAGCCTGCTGGTGGTGGCAGCAAAAAAATCAGCTGCCTCCGAATTCCTGGCTA